ATAAGAATTGGGTGGTATGTATGTAAATGCCCATTGGGAGAGTTTTGACTAATTATGAATGAGAATTGTGATAACTTTATTAAATGAAAGATTAATTTATATATAGTTGCACAACCAACACCAAGGCCTCCATCAAGGTATAGATGAAAGCAAGAACAATGAAGAAGATTTCTTCCTCTGCCTTGTTCATTCAAGCAGCTGGCTTAAATCTCTTCTTTCTACTCTCTATTCTCCTATCGTCACTAACCGTGAGAGCCCAAATTGTAATCGACCCCCCCGTTCTTGCACCTGTCAAAGCCCGTTATCTTGTGGCACGAAGTACGTGGGGTGTCCTTAGGTAAAATTCTCCTTGATTTCCTCCTGAGGTATATGTGTATCTTGTCATGGTTTTTACGAAAAATTTTACGCTGACTCTCAACTAATGCACCTCACACTTTTTCGCATCCGAGGCTTAGGACCCAACAATGACAATGTTAAAAAAATCATGTACTCAAACCCACTTAGTGGGATAAATACTTTTTGTTGTTGTTTTTGTTGTATATGTGTATCTACGAACTATTTTCAAAATTTGTGAGATGAAAAAAGTGGTCGTGTGATATTGCTACTCCTTCCAAAGAAGATAAGAAAGGTTCTCAACTTAAATATAAGATAATATAATATAATATGGATATTTTCTTCATTAAAATCGAAAGAAATAATGTGTCTTCCAAAATTAAATATGAGACATTCATTTTTCCTCTTGCGATTAATGTTATTATATTTGATTAATATTTTCAGACTTCATTTTTATTCCCTTTTTTTTTATTTCCTTTTTTTACCCTTCTGCAGCACAATCTCAGCTGATCTTGGAGGAGCTCCATTTGGGTAAGGCTATGAACTCATTCTCCTATTAAAATGCATTTCTAATTGATCATTGCATCTTATTAAGTATTACAAATATAAGTTTTGCATCTCTCCCTCTCCCTTTATTGATGGATCTTATTCTCTGGGTACGAAGAACTGTCGTTTCGTTCAGTGATGGAGAACCCAAGCATGGATTTGGGGTGCCATACTTCTATTTGGCAGAACTGGAACCCATAGGAAGAGATGAAATAAATGGAACAAGAGCAGCCTTAACTGTAAGTGAGGCTTCACGTGGAACTTGTGGAGGAGATATTCAAAGCCCTGGATGCAAAAGGACAACTCTCACTGGAAAGGTATGCATAATATTAACACAAAATAAAATTTTACAGTTTAGATAGTGTGCTGCTATTAACTATTTCGCTTGCTATTCTATGTCTATTGTTTTTTTTTCTCTCCTGGCAGAAGATTTTGGAAAACATTGCTGGCCTAATATACTAGAATTTCTAAGATACCATTGAGTGTACAGTGCACTTAACCAGCTTGGCAAACAATTTTTTAAGAACAATATAACAGATTTAAAGTAGAAAGTAAGCAAAGAGTGGTCATTCCATCGCTTATAATCTTGTATAATTCCACACTTCTTGAGTCTAATGGGCCTAGTTGTCAAAATACAATGTAATAAAAATAGAGTTACTTCAGGGAGCATAAACATACCTGCTTAAGCTATCATGTTAGCTGGTTACTAGTTTAAGATAATACCGTCTTAAAATATATTTAGCTGAGCACATTTACATGATAATAAAAAACTAATTAAATCTGGTGATATATACATGATTTTAGTTCTTTCATATCGACTATCATATGGTATTTGACATAGAATTATGCCTAATTTGAAAAATTAAATTTGATTAAATTTGATATGCTTACAGTTAACATGGATCAGCCTGGAAGATCCTGAAGTTAAGTTTGCCCAAGTCGCCCTGTTCACAAAACACCCAGAGATGGAAAGTTAGTCATCTAACCAAAATAAATAATTAATTAATTAAAATATTCTTACCTCCACAGGTTGCAAACATTTTCTGTTTTTTAATTTACTGATTGTTGTTGCAGGTTGGCCAAGCGATCAGAACTTTAAAATATACAAACTAGACCTAGAAGATATTTTTCTTGTCGACAAGTTTGGTAAACCAACGCATCCGACTCTAAAAGACTACCTGAAAATTCCTCCAATATAAACGAGGGAAACAGTTTTCCCAATCAGTCACATTTTCCAAGATGATTAGTATAATAAAATACTAAATACTTATCCCCTTTAGCATGTATGAATCTATTTAAATATGGCTTTGATGACTACAGTAATCCATGTGATCTGATATGTTCTTTAAAATTTGTTGCATTTTGAATAGCAAATCAACAATGCGTGTCAATGATCATATCATACATATTTTTAGCTTTGAGTGCTTCCAATAAAAAAATGGGTACATATTTTTATAAGTTTCCATGCGCGTGTAAATTTATTAATGTAGCTTAAACTCTTAAGGTGGTACATCTCGGCAATGTAAGACGCGATAAAAGAAAATGAACAAGTTTTGTGTTCACAGAAGAAAATATTATATATAAATAATAGTCAAGGAAATAAAAAACTATAAATTTTATTTTATTTCATAAACTAGAGTTTAACTACTTACATATGTGCTCCATAAATATGCTATAGACTTCAATTAAAATTAAAAAAAAAAATCTGTAAACTAAAATAAGATGAATTCAAACTTACCTTACTTTGTGGAGCATGCAACAACTGTGAAAAGATGTAAGATTATACTTCAAAAAAATGTGTCTGCAAAACCCCTTTCAAAAGCATGCTCCAAAGCGAGTCACCAAGCCAATAAAGCAGCATTATAACCCCCACATTTCAAGTCCCATCATTGAAGTCCCAAAAGCTGGAGTTGAAAGAGCTTAATACCATATGGCAAATGTTCACACAACAAAATTCAAAAAATTGTGACACATTAAATTTTCTTATCACAATTTAATTGAGACAATTTGATCATCATGCACAGAGAATTAGACAATCTATCACGAATCACTCAAATCATTTTTTTTATGATGGTGTAAGGCCTTCAATGCCTCTCTCAAAGAAAATTCATTTTCAAAAAAAAAAACTCTCAATTTCACAATATAAAGTCTATTGAATAATTCTCTGTAAAGTATAAAGGCAAAGTCAACTAAATTGTTAATGCAACAATGTCTATAAAAACTCAAATCATATACAAAATATGAAGCTCACCTTATGAAAATAAAGAATGGCTACATCGATAAAAAATCTTAATCGGAGAGGATCTTTATCATTTTAATGCTACCCAAATCCTCATGAAAATCACTTTGGTGCCAAATACAAAAATATCAAGAAAATTTATAATTTTTAAAATATTCAAATAAATATTATCACTTAAAGCTTAAAGCAACAACCATCCATCATACCAGTTTGCCAAAAGTAATAGATTTAAAATAGCTTAAACTTCTAAAAAAATCAATTTCATATCAGATGTAACTCTATGATTACTCAAAAATCCCATGCCAATAAAAATGTGATGTGTCAAATATGTGGGTGATTTCGCTACCAAATCGCGCCACAAATGATAAGATTATGACTAGGAACCTCAAACCAGCTGGTTTATCACCAAACGACATTATAATTTATAAATTATAATCACAACCAAAACAAGTAAATTCTCCAACGGCCTAAATTCTTTAAGTGGTGAATAATAGTTTACAAGTGAGACGACAAAAGATCATTTGTTAACTATTGTTGACATAAAATTACCCCCTTAAACAAATAAACACTCCAAATCTATAAGGATCCTCTCGACGACATCATCCGTAATTATTGATAGTGATCATTCAATTAAGTTTGGTTGAATAATTCAACAAAGTAGGTTAAGGTTCAAGACAACTCGAGACATTAAAATCATGAGATTTTCAT